TCTGTGTTTATGTTAACTCGTTATTCCACGTCTGTAACGGCGCTGCAGTCAAGATCGGCAGAATGAGGTGTCCAGTAGTTTTTGCAGTCTTGTTCCTGTTTGCACTTAACAATGCAGAAAATACCGAAAAAAATGTTTTAGTGTTAATTGAAAATGTATCCGTCCGTGATTCGCACTCATTATTTTTTAACTTCCTGAAAGGTAAGCAATTATAAAACTAGCGACTCTCAGATCGTGGATACCACCTTGCTTATAAGTACGCTGACGATGCCTCCCTCGATCTAAAGCACCTGGGTGAATATATGTATCAGCATATCATTATCTTCGCCCCATCCGTTAGAGGTAGATTCTTCTGATTTATTTTATTTTCAAGAATTCGGCGGTAACCTCGATGTGAAGAAACTCACCCGTTTTGTTGACGATGGCGGCAACATTCTGGTTGCGGGAAGCTCAGATATAGGCGAGGCTATCAAAGACTTTGGCAGTGATTGCGGCGTAGAGTTCGATGACGAGAAGACCACCGTTATTGACCACATGCATTACGACGTGATGGACGAGGGAAAGGTAACTGTTCTCTCTAGTTCCTCTTATATTTCTTCAGCATAACCTTATTATTGTCGACCCCGAAAATATCGCCAACGTTCCAGTTATTACAGGCAAGGTTACTAATCCGCTGCTATATCGTGGCATCGGGTAAGTTCGAAATACCGTAAATGATCTTCTAGAATCGCTGCCAACCCCGCAAATCCCCTTTTGATAAACATTCTTCATGCATCCGATACCGCGTACTCCCACTCCCCAGATTCACCGATTACCAATTACCCGAATACTGTCGGCAAAAATACGCAATTGATAACAGGTCTACAGGCCAGAAACGATGCTCGAGTCCTTTTTGTTGGTTCTCTAGACTTCTTCTCCAATGACTTCTTCTTGTCGGGTGCAGTTAACAGCCAAACGGGCAAAAGGTAATTTACTTGCATTCCATGAAAACTTGCAAGAAGCCATAATTTTTTTTCACATTGCCAGAGTATTCTCAATCATAACAGACAAACTTAGGCTTTGTAACAAAACTGAGCTCTGATTATTTATGCTCTTTAAGGCGTGCATAATGTGCAATATGTAATGAACTTATGTAAATATCGAATTGGATTCTCAAAAATCAATACTTGATATAGGGCGAAACATTTTCACCGAAGCAGACAAAATGCAGTTTCAAGAAGTAGGACTTGTAGGCTACATTTCTGGACGTAGTTTTCCTTCGGTCTCCGCGCAAACACGTACGTTAGTCCGGAAAATAGTGGCTGGAGAACTTTCTGACCTTTCGACGTCCTAATTTTGTTGCCACACAATTCTTCACTTTCACAGCTTTTCCAATTCTTATAGCTACCAGTATCAAGTTACACCCTAGCCTACATTGTTAATATATTTTTTCCGACCTTATGCTCAGTTGTGGTACTAACGTTCAATTTTTTCGACAAATCTCTTTCCAATATCCCTTTTATACTGTCGCTTCTTCAGCTATGCCGCATCAGGAAACAAAGAACTTTCAGAAAGCCTTGCCCTTTGGACTTTTAAAGAAACTGGCGTCCTTCGAGTGTCGTCTGTACATCACAATAAAGTTGGTGAAAAGGATTCAAGACGGGAGTACACCATCAAAGACGACATTATGTTTTCTGTTGACATCGAAATTAAGGGCCTGGATGGGTCCTGGAAGCCATTCGTAGCTGACGACGTTCAAGTAGAACTTATTCGCATTGATCCATTTATAAGGCGAACACTTCCGCACCAAGGTAATTTCAACGTTTTATTTCGGAGGAGTGCATCCATTTTGGAGTTAATGGACACAACTAGGCTCTTATTTACTTGGCACATCTTCCTTAACCTTAATGAGATTGCCAGTCCGAATATAGAAGCCGCCAGTGGAGGCCAATTGACGTTAAAATAATCGTATTTCATATCTGACTCCACATATTTTTGATTGCACTAGTGAGTAAGCAACATGGCAATATGTGCCTGTTTACGAATTATTTACCTGATCTTTATTCTTTCCCAAGGCAATAAATACGAGACCCAAATAAAACTTCCGGACGTCTACGGCGTTTTTAAACTGGTCGTCGATTACCATCGCACAGGATACACTCACCTCTTCACCTCTAACCAGGTAAGTCCGTCTGATTTTATTAGCCAAATAATGACCTCACAACATCCGTTTTTGTTATTAGTTGTTGGTTTGCGCGTCCGCAATCAGAAAGTCGAGTAATTGTCTACATTTACCATCGCTGGTCCGATTTATTCTTATATGCACCATCACTTGCATACATTTATTTAACCTCAGAAGTAGTGTCTATCCTTCCAACCGCATACTTGCCGCAGTCTTGCCATGTCCTTGTTTGTTATCGTTCTAACATAT